AATTAAAAATGTGATCCATCCCCGGTTGTTCAGTCTCAGCTTCTGGCAGTCAGAGGTTCAGGGACACCCAGTAAATAGGATTTTGTCCCTGACCATCTCGGCTATTAGCCATCGATGGACCTATCCTCCATGAATTTACCTAATTATTTTCTGAATCCTGCGTACTTTGGGCCTTCACAACATCCCTTGGCAATGAGTTCCACAGGTTGATTGTGCATTGTGTGAAGAAATACTTCCTTTCATTTGTTTTAAACCTGCTGCCTATTAATTTCATTGGGTCACCCCTAGCTTCAGTGTTACATGAAGGGGTAAATTACACTTCCAATTAATACAACCGTACAGAGATAGATATGGGAGTATGGAGTTTAGATTGGCCTCCTCCAGTCACCCTGACACCCAAGAGAGGGCAGAAAGCTGCTGTTTATTAAGCCACCTTTTTAAAGATTCAGATTCATTTTAGGACTCACTCATTCTTTGAGAAGTGCTGGATTCTGGCACACAGCTAATCAGAATGGAACATTCATCAACTCTCTAATCCCAACACAGTTAACCTACAGCAGATAGCAGACCTAAGAATCTTCCCGATGGGTTTCACTATCCTTCAGTCAAAGCTATTCATTTCCTTTGTATTTTATATCGCTGCTGCACATAAGGTTCATATATGCAGCTTGGTACCATAAATCATTTAAACTATGCAGACTTACCCAGCTGTTTCCTTGCTTTTGTTTTTGAGTGTATCTCCTCTGCATCATCCAGAACCAGGTTCATGTATTCATCAAAACCCTAAGAACCAACAACAAAAGTGGTTAGTGAACAAAATCGCCTGGTCTCAAGCCTCAACAGCAGGAGTTGCTTTCACTAAGGGGCACAGACAAACACCTGACAGGAATGGTCTAGATAATACTTAGTCCTGCCATTAGTGCAAGGGGCTAGCCTAGATGACCTCTCGAGGTCCCTTCCAGTCCTATGATGCTATGATTAAATGGATCTGAGTAAGACGACTAATTGGAAAACTGGGGGGAGGGAGGGAAAATGTTATTACTTCACTGTACTACTTTTTCTTGGGGAGTTGCAAATTGAACTTGTGAACGGGAAAAACAAATTAACGATGCAAAGTGCCTATAACATGACACTCACAATGATACAGCCTTCTATCCGCATGTTCACCTGTTCATAGAGCCACACCTGAATCCTGGACCTCTGCAAAATCATGGGCGGGGAGGAAGGGGGAAGATAAGAAAGCACATTATTAGCACAAGTACTCCAAGCAACAGTTAATATTATCATGTATACCAATGAGTATCTGTTTGACATGCTGTAAGTAGTTATTAAAAATATTCTTTGCGGTTTCTATAAGAAGACACAAGATATGACACCCAAATTAGGACTCAATGTTGCCCTGAGGCATCTTATAAATAAAAAGGCATGTTTTCTCTCCAATTATTGAGGATTTGTGAGCATGTAAAGGAATAAATTTTAGAAGATAAACAGTAGCAGAAGTCCGCTTGGGCCTAATTTTAAAGCCCAACCCAAATCCAACTAGACCACAGCCAATTTTAACCCAACCCGACCCCAAGAGTACACCTCTACCCCGATATAACGCGACCTGATATAACACGAATTTGGATATAATGCGGTAAAGCAGCGCTCTTGGGGAGGGGAGGGGAGCGGGGTGCTGCGCACTCCGGCGGATCAAAGCAAGTTCGATATAATGCAGTTTCACCTATAACGCAGTAAGATTATTTTCGCTCCCGAGGATAGCGTTATATCGGGGTAGAGGTGTATTTAATTGTTTTCATACCCGACTCCAACATTTGTAGTCAGGTCCCACTGGGTTTAGGTCAGGTTGCAAGGGTCTAGGGCTGTCAACGCAATCAAGAGATAAGAGCCTATTGGATCTGAGCTGCACCTGAATGTATGTTATACAAGTAACACCCAACCTAACCTGAACCTGACATCTGTATTCAGATCCTGTCAGGTTGCCAGGGTCTATACACACAAGTACATCACTGTACACTTTACCTTAGGATCAAACCTTTAGTATTCATTACTATTTCTTGGCATGCTAACAAAATATTAAACTTAGACCCACAGTGCGGTTGGGTAGCAGGAAGCTATTCAGTACAAACACCAAAAAAACCCCTTAAGAGCTAATATGTCAAATATTATCAATACTATTATTAGCTAGAGAGGGAAGAAACTGATCAGTTTATGAATCCCAGCTCCTTGCTGAAAAAGGAAGGAAGAAAGAATCCTTCCCCAACCCAAAGACAGGATGGATCAGATATAAACCTCAGCAACATTACCATGGCTAAAAGCATGTTTTGGATCATATTTACAATCAAGCAAGGAGCTGACAGACAGCATTACTTACATTCTGCAGGTACCTGAAGATGAGGTTCTGTAACACGGCACTTAAGGAAAATCACAGAAACAGCTCCTAGCACAACATGTGTCACTGTAACAACTCATCTGGTTATAACCAAAGTTCCCACTCTACAAGCTCTTTATTTTTAGGCAAATCACCGTTTGTTCCTTGGAGGGGAGGGGAAGAAGTCCGGTTGGCATTGAACACACCGACTCCCTCTTGGATTCTGATAAAAAGCAGCCCCTTCCCAGGCGCTTGGGAGAGGAGACCCCCCAACCCCCAACATTTAATGCCCGGGTGAGAGGCTGCATGGCAACCCCGATCTCAGCCTCCACCGCCCGGCACCCTCACTCCCCGCCAGCCCCCCACACTCTCCTCCCCCCCCCACAGCCAGCCCCAGCCCACTCACTCCCCCCCTCCTCCCCACCAGCCCCCCACATCTCGTCTCCCCCAGAGCCAGC